GGCTTTCTGACAAGATGCGCGTTAAATATCGAGACAGCATCACTGATTATAATGGGTTCTATTGTATTTCGTCGCGCCGGGCCGGTATAAACACCAGCATTGACTAGAGCAGCCACGATCAGCTCCGGTGGCCATGGAGCCGTAATGCGCCGCAAACGTGTGCAGTGATGCACAGATCAGCTCTAACGTCACTGAATCTGGTGTTAATGAACCATCCATTCATCATATCATCATGCAAAACTAAGAATTAGAATCATTATAATGTGCCGATCAAATATAGGTGCGGGTGGGTGGCAGGCGGATAATTTATTTGAAGTAGCGGACTCGGGTAAAGTTTGAGCTCATCTGTGCATCTCTACACTGACCTGAGTCGCCAGTAGCAAACAATGGAGCACGCTCTACTGGACAAACTAAGCAATTACACCATTTAGAAGCATTTAATCTGCGTTATATGTTCTGTAAAAAAAAAAAAAGTTAATATCGGCGGCATATTCGCCGATACCAATATATCTGCGACAGGCTCATATCAGCCGATAATATCGGCAAAACGATATATCGGTCAGGCTCTAGTAAGTTATACAAGAAAATGGTGGTTGCAGTAAAATGCTGGACTTACCCGTGTCCTGTCCTCAATGCTGGAGATGTGCAGTTGCATGGGGATGTTGAAACTATGTAGAAAGTTCCCACCAAACACAAGTGCGTCTACTGGAGTATACACCGCATGGATCCAACCTAACATAAAAAAAAAAATTTAAAAAGGGTTTTATTTAGGTTTAATTCACAGAAAACATGCAATTTAAGAAAGTTCAAACTAATCATTCAAAACTAAACCCATGAAAACACATGGTAATCTAAAAGATTCCAAATAAATACGCACACAATATAACAGTCAAGTGTTTCTCTTCATGTAAACAAATGTGTGTGCCTGCATGTGCTCACCTGATGGAATAATGAACGTGTAGCCCTGCTTGAGCTCAATCCTTTGGCAATCAGTGGCCTTGTCACCAAGGAAGATGTCGCCTTGTTTCCCTGACAACACCCAGTTCTCATAAAGCTCCAGGTTTTGTGGCGTTGGTGGGATTAACCAAAACACCTGTAGCAGACACATCCAAATCAAGCTCATCTAGACCAAAACCATTTTTGGGTGTTTTAACAGCAAACTAATTATACAAAACACACCAGTTCATATGGCGTTATCAGTGAGCTCACGTCTACGCTAAATTCGAGTAAGCATGATTTTAGTATGTATACTACTGCTCAAAGGACTGGGGTTTAAAGATTTTTAAGAATTTATCAAACTATTGATCAAAAGTGACAAATACTTTGAAGTCTGAAAATTCAGCATTGCCATCGAGAAATTACATTCTAAACATAATAGAATGTAGAAAACAGTATTTTACATTGTAATATATTTCACAATATTACTGTATTTAGTTTATAAAATAAATGCAGCCTTGGTAAGCATAAGACACTCTAAACTGATGCCAAACTTTTGAACAGTAGTGCATCTATACAGTGTTCTCTGACCTTGCAGCCCTGCAGTATGTGGTACCACACAGATGTGCCTCCAAAGTCTATGTGGAAATCTGTGTAACAGCCCTGCACGCTCATTAGGCAGTACCTGGAAACAGAACACAGGCAAATTTGAAATAGGAGAAAATTACTGTTTTGTTGAATAACAAGAATGAACAAAGAGTGCTGTGTGAGAAATGGGACATGAACATAATGCAGCAGACTTATTTCCCAGTGAACAAAGCCTTTTTGTTTTAAAGCCTTCTCAAGATGTAAAATAAGACCAAGCTTTCATTAATGCAAACTATATTTAAGGATCTAGTATATGCTCACTTCTGCACTTTGGGGTATTGCATCTCAGTGATAGAGTTTGTAGAATCTCTTTGTCTTTCTTTTAAGTGTCGTGGCCACATGTTGTCCACCCAGTCAATCATGTCCACCTGTAACAACATGGAAAAAAATTTATCACAGACTGATCTAAATATTAGTATTTTTTGGTGTGTTTTAAAGGGATAGTTCAACCAAAAATGAAAGTTCTGTCATTAATTACTCACCTCATGTTGTTCCAAACCTGTAAGACCTATGTTGACTGACACGGAAGTATTCTCGTAGCTTCATAAAATGAAAGTTGAACCACTGCTGTCACATGGACTATTTTAATACCTCTCTGGGCCTTGAACGTATCAGTTGCATTGCTGTCTATGCAGGGTCAGAAAGCTGTCGGATTTCATAGAGAGTGAGACAATGAAAAACCGATGCCAGAGCAACACTACAGTATTTTTCTGCATACACTCCTCCTCGTCTCCTGAATGCTGAACAAATGTTGCATAACTACCACAACTTGCTGGGTTATTTGAGCGCACACCTACGCTCTCACAATCTCACACATACACTAAATAACTCGCCCATCACGAGCACTAGCCCACACACACCAACTATTAATAAGACATCTCAAATCACGCTGACAAAATCACAAGGATTCAATGTTAAGAGCCTTGGAGAACAATTACTCGTATGGTTCCAGCAGAAAACTACTAATGGTCACATTCTTTTTTCAGTTTAACATCAGAGCACGTATGAGTTTCTATACACGTACATATGTTCCTTTATTTCACCATAATACCTCTGTTCAAAATTGTATACATTTTAAGACAGCACTGCATGTATCCTTCACAGAGAAGGCAAGTGTATATAAGACTGTATTTAAAACAAGAAGTGATACTTTCAAAAATGCCACTGCAGTACAGATGATTAACAGTGATTTCTGCAACACATACAGTACTGCTCAAAACTGGGGTTGGTATGATTTGTCCTCTTATGCTCACAAGGGCTGCATTTTTTTTTTAAATACTGTAAAAAAAGCAGCAACATTTTAAAATGTTATTACAATAAATTAATTATTTATTCACTTTTTAACCCCATGCCAGCATCAAGGCTATTTTGATGGCGATGATTAATAGCTAATAGTTTGATATTTAAGATGTAATGTATTCCTAGTATGATGTCAAAGCTAAATTTACAGCAGCCATTACTCCAGTCTATAGTGTCACTTCTTCCTTCAGAAATTATTTTAATATGATGATTTGTTGCTAAAGATAAATATTTCTTATTATTGAGTTATTATACTTTTATTTTTAACTGAAAACAGTTGTGCTACTTAGTATTTTTGTGGACAGTTTTCACGTTGCTTTTCTTCACAGGATACTTTGCAGAACAGAACAGAATAGAAATGTTACGGAACAGAATAGTTTTGTAGAACGGAAAAGAAATGTTTTGTAACAATGTAAGCCTTGTCGGTAGGTCTGTGCGATATGGACAAAAAAAACCTATCCTCCGAGATGTGGGTTCCCAGGAACTTGAAGCTGGAGACACGTTCAACAACTGTCCCGTTAATGTGGATGGGGTCATGCGTGTTTCCTTTCTTCTTCCTAAAGTCCACAATAAGCTCCTTTGTCTTACTGGTGTTAAGGAGCAGGTTGTTGTCAGCGCACCATGCGGCCAGGTGCTGTACCTAAATGCATTCAGTGTGAATTTGAAACATTTCCAAAAGAAAACCAATTAGAGCTTTATCAAAAAGCTGTAACATGTCTCTAGAACAGAC